CCCCAAAACCCCAAAACCCCAAAACCCCAGTTATGTATGATAGTGTTGATTTTTATTCATCTTCTCTTATTTTAAGCTTCTGGTGGACCTCTTGTTCATCAAACTTCTTGGCAATCACAATATCAATGAGATATGGGAAGTATAATTGGTGTATCCTTCTGAACAAAATGAATGGGAATGTTCATGCTCCAACAATCACTAGTATGTTAAGCCAGAATTTGATATGGGTATATAAAATAATTTGACTTTCTGCAAAAAGATGGTACAGCATCACAAATACTGGGAAAAACAGGACTACATGAAGAATGAAAGATACAACTTTTCATGAATTCCATGTTTTAACATACTGGCTAATGATAGTGAGATGGATGCCCATTATTGCACAATACGAAGTAAAGCTCCATTGCCATTGACCAAAATTTTTCCCATCTGCTTCTACTGCATGATAAAAACTCCAAAAGTTGATTTCAAAGTTTATGACACCCATGACTCCTCAATAGATGTACCATTTGAGGAAATCCCATAGTTTAAACATCTCTAATGTCCTACTTTCATTATAGAGGTAAGGTAACATCAAACTTTCAGTCTTATCCTTCAAGTCTGGGTCGATATCAGTCTCATAAATTGCAAAAATTATTATGACCAAGTTCATTTGCATAATGTTAAAAATTATGGCATAAGTAGGCTCATAATAAGTAGCTCCACTAAATAAGTTATAGAAAGCAAATATGAAAGGACCCATACAAAATATCAAATTTTTAGTGAGCATATGAATGAAGAAAGTTCTGAATCTTCTATGATTATTTCTGCCATGTACAAATAGAAGCCTTCTTAAGAATTGAAATTCTCCTATTGCGAAATCTGAGGCTGAGACTGCTTGATATCCTTCTTTCCCATAAATCCCTATGCCCACATCTGCTTTCTTGATCATGCTAACATCGTTTCCTCCATCTCCAATAGCTAGAGATACTTGTTTGGGGTCAATCTCTTTGCCGAACTGTAAAATATCAGCCTTCTGCTTTGGAGTGGCTCTGCAAACAATCACTGAAGAGCATCTTGTGATGATCTCTTTAAGTATTTCCTTGTGTTCCTCTTGTAAGAGTCAATTGAGGGTGTTTCCCTCAATTACAAGTTCATACTTATTCATACTTTCTGCTACTTCCTTCTTTTCAGAATCTTTATTAAGGATACTATTGAATCCGGAATATTTGACAATATTTTCAACATACTTTTTCTTCTCTAAAAGAGTTAGCTCCCTTGTCTGGTCTTCAAAGCTCATATTCTTAGGTGGCGTATTTTTCCCATGAATAGTGTTGGAATGAGACTCTCCGTTTAAGAAACTATGATCATTTTTAGACTGTAAATGGTCTGGACTTCTAGGAGATTTCATCAAACCTTTATTTTCAGCCTTCTTTTCTTCATGCATTCCATTACTCTCCTCTCAAACAGCTTTAGAGTTTTGACTGCTTGGGTTTATTGTAGCACCTGTTCTCATTTTCTCAAGGATTGCTTGGGCATTATCTACAGTCTCTTGGTTATTTTCTCCAGGAGTTATGAACAATCTACTTCCTTCGTCTTGAAGAAGTCTGCAAGATATTCCAACACTTTCAGCAGTCTCTAACTTATCTCCTGTAATCATCCAGATCTTGATTTGGGCCCTTCTGAATTCTTCAATACATTGATGAACATTTTCTTGAAGCTTATCTTCAAGACCAGTTGTTCCTAAAATAATCTGACCGTCTTCAAGTTCATCCATATACTCCATTTTAGTGTCTATAAGTAAAGAGTTAGGCTAAGGCTTTAGAGTCAGCAGGTGGGACTTACCCTCTGTTTCCTTTAAATTTGAGAACTTGCTCTCCCACTTGTCATATTCAGATTTTGATATAACTTTGAACCCAACCATTAAAGTTCTATAAAATTTAAAGTAAGTACATTTTATAGCTTACCTGTATCCAAGCATGGAGAAATCATGAGCAAAGTCAGAATCTAGACTGATAGCTTCCTTTTCAGCTAACTCTTTCATGATATCATCTGCTCCTTTAGTGATTACGATAACTGCATCCTTATCATCCGGGTCTTGTATGACAATAGTCATCCTTTTTCTTTCAGAAGTGAACTTGAACAGCTGGAGAAGTACAAATTCTTTCTTTTCTGAATTAATTTTAATCTCAATTCTATTGTTTGACCTGTACCTGAACTCATAGCCGATCGTCTTAGCAGCTTCAACGAGAGTGATTTCATCAGGAGACATCCCGTGGTATACTAATTCTTCATCTTCATCGATGTCATGCTCTGAAATGTTGTCAGACTCATTTCCCTTTTCTTCTTCATCCGATTCATCTTTTATTTTGTTCTTATCATGAGCTAAATAAAATAAGATAAATAGTGTTATTATTACCTTCTTCAAGATTGCTGTTATCAACTTTAGAAGTGGAACTTTTCTTTGGAATAATGGAAGAATCCTTGTGGTAAATCAGGACCCCATCGTCATGAGTCTTCTTAATTGCCTGCTTTCTTTTCGATACAGAAATCACCTCGTGACAAATTGACAAAGCCATCCAAAAATAATGTATGAAATCTTTCTGCTTCGAGATCCTGACTGATCCTTGGGAATAAGCTTTGATATTCTCTAGAGAAGAGTTATCTTCATTTAAGCCATTCTGGATGCACTCAAGCACCTTCAGGTTTTCCTCTGAAGCATCTTCAGGCTCCTTTTCTAAAATATTTTTGTCATATTTTATGGTTCCAATGGCACAAGCTTTGAGCATCATTTCATTTGCAGTTAGAGTTCCAGTTTTATCAGTGTAGATGTTGTTAACGACGCCTAGTTCTTCACCTAGAGATATCGAGAAGACTTTGCAACCTTGATTGTGATAAACTGAGAACATCTTTGCATCAAGGAAGATGAATAATGACTGAAAAATCTTTATGACCTCTATTGTGACCAAACTCAAAATGGGTAAAAGCCATCCAAAGAGAAGGAAATGTCTAAAGAACAAAACTATGAAGTAACCTAAGGGGTTTTGATTGTAATCATCTTCATCTTTCCATAGGTACCAAGGACCATCGATTTTTCCATTACTTGCGGAATATTCCAGCTTTGTCTGATAAACTATAATTGCTCCTGTTCCTAATATCAGGCCAAGGGATATCTGGAGTACCAGGAGAATAGACAGAAATACTTTATTTACCTCCCTTTCGGCATGGGATATCTTAGTAGAACTTTTAATCATACTCTTCATGAGTTTAGTCTCATGTCCAGCATATGCAATTATTCCTATGATCCAGTCAGTATTGGCAAGTTTAGATCCTCTATGCATGAACTGGTCTATACTCAAGTTCATTTTTGATAATTCAGGATTTTTAAAGTAAAGATCTCCGTCAAACTGATAGATCTGATTATTTGGATGTCCAAACTTGAGGTAAAATTTTAGGTCTTGAATTTTAACCTTATTCAACTTCATCTCATCTGCAATCTCGTTAAGTGCTTGTCTTTGCTTCAGAGCTCGTTCTCCATCCAGAGCCATTGTCTGAATGTAAGCATTCCCATGATGGTCAGAACTTCTAATGATGATAATATCTGCAGGAATATATTCTTCTTGGTGGATCATGACTATATCACCAACACAGAGGTTTTTCCACTTGACTTGGTGGAACTTATCCTCCCTCAGCACTAGGGTTTCACGGTTATTGACAATTTTGTCTTGTCTTCCTCTTCTTATCTCTTCTATTAATTCTCTGATCATTGACACTCCGAAGACGAAGATCAGAGGTAAGCAGGCTAGCCCAAATGACACTGTCTGGATTGGCTTGATAGCTTGCAGAAGAGTGACCGCTAAGAAGTAGAAATTATACTTCCTCTTGAACTGTGCCAGGAACGACCCTGGGAAAAATGTCAGCCAGTTGTATTTAGTTGTTTTAATTTTGTTCTTTTTGTACTTTGGTGCTTTTGTTAAAGAGCCTTCATGAGAATTCATATCTTCTTGGTTGTTTAGGTGAGACAGAATCTCCTCATCTTCATAGCCGTAATATGCGAATCTATTTGTGCTAAGTAAATCCTCGAGAATATCTGATAAGCTTACCTTTCCATATATTAGATGTGTCCTATACTTCAATATTATATTTGAAATTAGGGGTTTTGGGGTTTTGGGGTTTTGGGGTTTTGGGG